AGAAGCGCCATCTCTTTCACGCCAGGTTCTCATATATTTTTTTCTTGTAAATAAAATTGCAAAATTGTATAAATTGAATAAGTTTTGCTGAACACGAAGTGAAGCTATTCTGGTGAATCATATAATATAAAATATTTGTGTGTTTTTTCAATTTTTTTTATTTATTATAAATTCTATTAATTATTTTCGTTATTATTATTGCAAAACTTATTCAATTTATACAATTTTGCAAGAAAAAAATATTTGCAAGAAAAAAATATATGAGAACCTGGCGTGAAAGAGATGGCGCTTCTTAAATCGAGTCGCGTTGAAAGCCGACTGTAAGTGATACTCGGTACCTCCCATACAAAATTTTCAATTTTTGGTTCAAAAAAGAATATTTTGTATGGGAGGTACTCATAAATTTCGTTGAAATTTCTCCAAACTTTTCGAATGGTTTTTTTTGTGAAAAAAATAACCTGTGCAAAGTTTCACGTGCTTACGATACCATACAGGTATGATTCCCATACAAAAATCCATTTTGTTTTACTTTTGTATGAAAAGTGTTTCAAAAATAATGTTTATGGCAAAATTAACGTCAGATATATTTTTTATGGTGTTTTATAGAAAATAGTATTCTTTCAAATGTCGTACAATTGGGTTCATCATGAAGTGTGAAAAATCTTTTCCGAGTACTTCTGCTATTAAATAAAAGGATATTTCAATGCCGAACACATTTTTTGGCCTCAAACTTAACGCCGCTTGAAAGGCTTGAAAAATCGAACAAATATTATTTTGAAATAGCTTAATAGAATACGCATCTACCACCGTGCGGAAAAGTTCGTCTTACTCCTGTAAGACTCTTTATTTTATTTTAATTTGAAAATTTTGTATGGGAGGTACCCCTAATTTTAATTGAAATCTCTTCAAACTTTCAGAATGTTATTTTTTTGTGTAAAAAATAGTCTGTGCAAAGTTTTACGTCATTAAGGTAGCATACAGGCATGGCTCCCATACAAAAATTCAATTTTTTTGCGGTTTTTTCAAGGAAACTGTATCAAAAATTGATTGTATCTCAAAATTAACCTCGGATTCGGTTTTCTCGTGCCAAAAAACCCCCCAATACATATTTTTGAGTGTTTAAGTCTACATTAAGTATGTTTCTTGGACGAAAATTGGACTCTTTTTCATATCACTCCAGGCATGACATTTTTTTCCATCAACCAAAATCGCTCAAAATCTAATGATTTCTATTCCTTGGGACCCCCAATCATCCTGTACAGTCAGATTTTAAAAAAAATTTGTGGGGGGGTGAGATAATCGATGGTCAAATTTTGCGTACGGCGGACGACGTACGACGTACGACGTGGAAGCGACCCACAACAACCATGCTCAAAACGGCCTGATTCGGGTTCTCTGACCTCAGAAACGTCCAGAAAACATGTTTTTGAGGTTTCGTAAACTTTGACCCATTGCAATACTTTCCCCTTTCACACTAGGTGTGTGCGGAAAAGTAAAAGGAGTGTTGGTGTCTACATTGTTACACTAATTTTGTTCTCTTTGTCTGCAAAGGACCATTCACGGATGCTTTAAACATTTTCAATTCACTGTTCGGACAAAGAAAACTTTTTGTAAATGCAGTAGAGAATAAAATCGACACTCATGAAGAGAATGGTGGCTGGTAGCCGCTTCTATGTATGTGTGACTTTACTTACTGTCGTTTGTAGGCGCATTGCTTCACAAGTGCGATTTCATGCACTGAAATACAGGGAGATTAAAAATAAACTTGTTTTTTTTTTTGTTGATAGTTAAAGATTCGCATAAAGTTGACACTCCTTAAACAATGCATATATTCAATGAAGTCATATCGTGTATTTTCGAATCGTTTTTTCATTCGTACAGTCTTTTAAAAGTAAAGTAATGCACCATGGACTTTAAAATAGAATTATCACAACTTGTGGCATCTTATCGTTTATGCGTTTCCTTTTCTCTATTGCACTCACTCGATGTCACTCAGTGTGCAAATGAATTTGTCGTCGTTCGTTTCTCTTCAATCACTTACAAAATGAACGCAATTATTCCCGTCATTATTTTCTTAACTTCAATTGAATGTGTCGCATCAATAAACTATCATCAAATCGGCGATTGTCATTACGTCGATTCGTATCAATCGTTTGACGGTAAATTTAATTTGACATTCATTTGTGTTGAGACAAATTACGAAAATACATTTTTCACAAAAGACACCGCGTCCACATGCAAACGAAACAATTATAAATTCTACAAAAGTGCAATTGGTGTGATTAATTTCAAAGATTGTGATCTACATCAAATCGATTCGAATTTCTTCGATGTGTACTCGAATGTGTTTAGCTTAAATATATCCAATCTTGGTTTGCAGTCACTGCAACCCGATTTTTTCAAATCGGCAAAAAGTTTAACCAAAATAAATGCATCGCACAATTACTTGAATGAGATGCCAACATTGAATCAGTCCAACAAGCTCGTCGACGTCGATTTTTCATATAATTTGATCAAAAACATCAATGCAAATACATTTACAGCCGATAGTAACCGTGTGGAAATGTTGAACTTATCACATAACAACATAACGGAGTTGAGTGTTCAATTGTTTAAAACAATGCCCGAATTGAAGCGTTTATATGTGTCACAAAATCGAATCGGTGACCTTCCATCGTTTTTATTTCACAATTCGAAAAATCTCGTCGAAGTTGACTTGTCAAACAATCAAATCGGTCGAATTGATGATTTGGCATTTTTCGGTGATTCAAATTTGGATAAAATCAACTTGTCCAACAATCAACTCACGGCATTCAATAAGAAAATCATCGAAAATCATGAACATTTAACTCATTTGGACATTTCGCATAATCTTATTGACAAACTCAAAGCAGACACATTTCAAAATCTTCGGAATTTAATGCATTTGAATTTGGCTGAAAATCCAATTAAAGCGGTTAACAATGAAACGTTTTTGACTCTCGTCAAATTGGAGCATTTGAATTTGTCAAAAACTTTGTTAAAGGAAATCAAACCGCGAACGTTTTTACATCAAATTAATTTGAAAACTATTGATTTGACAAACAATGAAATTCAGGTATTGAATTCGGATATTTTTCCCGATAAACTCGAAATATTGCAAACGATTTTTGTCGAGGGTAATCGATTACACACATTAAATGGTTTCACGAGCTTAATTTATTCCAAATTTCATGGTATCGAGAGCAAAAAATTCAAATGCACATTTTGGAATGTTGAATTTCAACCGACAACGTGGACGGAACTAGATAACACATGGGTAAAGATTAAGTGCACAATATCGGATGATAGACAACATAATGCAATCTATACGACAGAAGTATCGAGTGTAAGCAGAGAATATAGACAGATTGATAAAAACACAAATGAAGTAACCACAGTCAATTATGGAAAAACCAAACAACTTGAATCAAAACATATCATAGGCTGTAATGGTGCTGAAACGTCTATGCACATATTTATAACTACTTGGATCAATAGTGTTTGTTTGATTGTCGCTGTTATTTCGTTGATTTACTTCATTTTACATCGAAGACGAATGCACAAAATCACCGACAA